GGCCGTTGGAACAGGAAAAAAATAAAACAGTACCGGGTCACTTTCTCTCTTTAAGAGAGAATCTGATCTACTCATGTCCAAATTCTGAGTGAAGTGTTGGTTTTACTGGGAGGAAATTCACTTCAGTGCATGGGCCACATTCATCCCAGACCAGTAAAACCACAGCATACACACACGCATTAAAAAACAAGTACATTATAATCACAGTCACCTGGAGTCCTGCAGGCCTCATACTATCGCTTCACAACAACAAATGCAAACTAAACCACACGGGGGCAGCGTTGCTTCATTAAGTCACTCAAACTTTAATCTGCATTTGTTTGTGTTGAACAGCAACTGTTCCTGTGTCACATGTAAAAACTGCAGACGAAGCTTTGATGAACACAGTTTTTCATCTCGGGGAGGGACCCAGAGACGAATCACATAAAATGATCTCTGTAGTAAAATATTTGTCGAAGTGTTGCAAATGAGCCGAGTTTAGTTTGTGCCGTGTTTCTCATTCTTTCTGGATGTTTGTAATTCCAATGCCTTGGCTTAAAGTGGGATTTTGCTGGCAGAGGAACACTAAGATCCAGCAAACTTATTAGTCTCAAAATAACTCCCAAATCAGCTGACTGCTGCTGCTGACTCTAAGGCTTTCTGCTCTTTGTGAATTCAGCTGCATCCTACATTCTAGGAGGATTTCATGAGTCATCATAGCAGGAATACAGCATGAAGACAGAGGACAACCTTTTGTGACAGTGTTTTCATATCAAGGTTAAACCAGCAGCGCAGGAATCCTGACTCCTTTCTAACCAGGCGGGGCCAGAAAATTCACACAATTCTTTACAAGTGGATGTAACACTCTCTTAAAAGTCAAGACTTTAACCTGAGAGACTAACTTCCTGCTTTACCTTCTGAGTATGCAAACACCTATATGTATGTAAGCCTGCACACAGATGAAATGAGCACTCAAGTTTTATTTACCCACAAACGTGAAGATTTTGCGAACGACAGTGACGCTGAACACTCGCCGCTCGATGAGGGCGTCCGCCATGACTCCAGACAGCCACGCCATCAACCAGCTGCCCAAGTACGGCAGAGAGGACAGGAAGCCGTTCTGATACAGACACACAGACAGATGTTCAGACTTTCAGATTTCTGACAAAAATACAGAAATATAAACACTGACATCAGGAAAGTGTAGAGCTGATGCTGTAGTTTCAGATTTTGGGACTTTCACTTGATTTCCTCTCTGACATCTCCACACTTTTGGATAAAGCTACATGTTTACTACCCGACACTGTTTCAATTCTTCTATTTTTTACTGGTTTTTTTTACAATTAAGAGAAAAAAGAAGCAGAGGTCAAAGATAAAACAAAGTCCTTGTAATCTATCATAATATTAAAACTGAAATTTCACATCCAAGTTTTACTTGGGTGAGTCTCATGTGTCTCTACTCTGATCTCAAACATCTGAAGCGCTTCGGTAAACATGAAACAAGTGAAGGGAAATCTCACCGACTGCAGGTCGAAGTGCAGGATGACATCCATGTAGGTGGGCAGGGATGTGAGCAGGGTGTAGTAGGCCCAGTTCGAGCACATCTGGGTGACGATGATGGCCCACAGTTGGACAGACAGCGCCATGTGCAGCAAAGGCAAGGACCAGCCATGACCTGTACCCTGAAGCATCGGTTCAGGTTAGAGAAAAATCATAACAATGTACTGAAATAATACAATTTAAGAACTTTGCAGTAGAATCTGACTGATATAGGGTTTTTAAGACCGATACTGATGCAGATATTTGACGATTTAAAAGCCAGTATGTCAGCCAATACTTTTTCATTTCAAACATATGAAACACAAACAGATTTACCCGAAGTTTGAGCAGAAGTTTATTTACTTGTTTACGCTCAGGTTGGATCAGCTGGCTGCATTTATGATGTTCCCATTGTTGCAAATGGGTGTCTTCTGGTGGACAAACCATGCAACATCAACACTCATAACATGCCTGAAGAGTGTTTCTGCTTACTTTTTCAATTTTCATTTACCAGTTGCCAAAATAACTAATGCTGGATTCTACTCTGCAGCAATAAAAACATAATCATAGACAGAACATCTGTAGGGTTAAGAAGGATTTTCTGTTTTAAGTTATTATAGGTAAAAAAAAAAAACTAGTGACATACTGGTGACAGATAGTGGTCCCCCTCAGCCTCCTAGTAGATAGACTTATGTCATCAATTTCAAAATCCTAGGTGACTTCCTTCTAGAATTATCACATACAGATGATTTTCAGATAACCTGACCTCTGACCTCAAACCTTGAGGTCTACATTCTTAGCAGATACACCCATGGAGACTTGGGTGTCCACGTCACCTGTCCGTGGACAATGATGACCACACTCCATGAGCCTTTTATGGCTGAGGGGTAAAAAACCAAACCACCCCCTCAAAAACTGTACAAAACAGCATAAAAATATGCAGAAAATGTCTTTGATTTCAATCTTTATTAGTTTAATCTATATTTATTAGTTTGGTCAAACTGAGCTGAGAGGGATTTATTTTTCACCAACACCTGAATGTCTATGTGACGGTTTGTCTGCAGTTGTTTGTACTTTAAAACCAAATCTGAACTTGTTAAGCCCTTAAAACCAAGTTTACCACAATACTTGTCCATCAGTGCGATTCCCCCTCCCCCTCCTCCGAAACCTTTTCAAACAATAAAATCTAAACTGAAACGAAACCTATTGAAGAAGATCAAACTATAATATATTTGGATCGAAAATATATTTGGATATAAAACCAACTGAGACAAAAGGTCAGCTGCGGGGAAGAGAGAGTAAGAAAAGGCAGAGCAGTAAGAGAAATGGAAACAGGAAGTCAGATAAAGGAAGTGATGAGTCACTCTTCACTGCAGGTAGAAAAGAATACACAACACAGGAGCAGGTGAGGGACAATTTTGAACAGCAATGTCATTTGTATATACACTACCACTTTTTTCCACTTAAAAAAACAAACAAAAAAAACATTTGCAAATGTTTGCAAATCTCTTTTTGGGGTTAAAAAAAGCTGCTGTTGGTATTTACTAAAGATGCCCAGTTAATCTAACAACTAAAAGGCAGGACTGAGGTCATGTGTTGCCTGTGAATCTGCAGGAGTTTCCTTATACGGGGTCACAGAGCAGTGCTTCTCAAAGCAAGGACCCTATATAGAGCACAAAATAATTAAAAAGCAGATGAGGACCAACAAAACAAACAAAAACAACTGTCACATGGAGTCTGAAACTTTATGTATAAAATAGATTTACACAAATATCTCCAGATAAATATAAGGAGTATAAAAGATATGAAGGATTTGCTTGGTCAGATTATAACAGGGTCCCCTGACAGAGACACACACGAGGATCAATGTAAATAAATATCTGTTAATGTTTCACTCATACCTGTGGTCCCACGGTTTTAATGATGTAATCTTGCTCCTCTTTGCTGATTCGGCGATGGTTGCGAGGGTCATCTGACACAAAGATAAACCAAAAGACTGCCCAGAGGCAACCAGCACCGCCTGGAAGAGGAGGTGAATGATTAAAAGAATCAGCAGATTTGGCAGTGAAAGCAAAGAGCTAAACAGTGATTGTCTTCAAGGCCAAGTCAGAGGAAAAGTAATGTTACTGTTGTCATAAACCAAAGAGGAATAAGCTCAAATGATAGACTGCCATCACTGTACATTAAAACAAGACTTCTGTGTAGCCTCAATAATACACAAATTGCTCTAAACAGTTTTTTGTTGTTCAGATGTAGTAAAAAAATGGCTTGTGGTGGCACCAGTGTGTGTTCCCCTCACCACAGATGTAGAAGACAGTGGGCCAGCCCAGCATCTGGCAGATGTAGCCAGTGAGCGGCAGGGCCACAAAGGCGCCAAAGCTGCCCCCAGACGCCGACATGGCAATCAGGCGAGAGCGCTCCAGAGGAGGAGCCCACCTAGCCCATATCGCCATCATCGCCGGGTACGTCACACCCTAAAGATGCACACAGAGACAATGTAAAGAAAATAATCTGCTCGCTGTTATAGAAGCTTTTTACGTTGGCAACTACAAACACCTGGAGTCATTCTTGATGTAGGTGTAAAAAGGTTAAACCAAAAAGTGTACCAATGGTTTTTCTTCTCGTTACATTTTTGGCAGTCATTCACAGCTGATCACGCTGGCAGAGCGAGGCCTGTATCACCCATAGGAGCAGACGCAGGACTCCTCATACCACAACTTATTAAAGCCCTAATTTGGATTTTTATTCTCTGAGATCTTGAGTTTTCCTATTATTTTCTTACCTTTCAAAGATTTTTGTTCAAGTAATAATTTATTTATTTAATCAATCCATCTTAGTATAAATGCGGTTACCACAGATGGGTGTTCAGAGCTTAAATGAACCTGTCAAAGAAATAAAGAAAAACATGTCTGGTCTCCCCCCTGTCGTACCTCTCCGAAGCCCTCCAGAGCTCGCAGTGCAAACAGCCAGTACGACCCCCATTTGGCAGCGAGAGGGGTGAGCAGAGTGAGGGCAGCCGTGCCCAGCACACCCAAACCCAGGAAAAACTTCCCCCCGTAGTGACCGGCCAGGTAGCCGCCCGGGATCTGCGTGCACAGGTAGCCGAAGAAGAAAGCCCCGAGCAGCCAGCCCTGAGTCTCAGAGTCCCAGTTGTAGTGAGGGACCTGGGGCAAGAGGACACAGAAAGGAGGCGTCACAGAAAATAAAGCGTGAGGAGAGATCTTGATGGCGGCTCTTTCAATGCTCGAGCGGCGTTACCCCGGCAGGCTGCTGGAAATTATTGCTAGTGTTCTCGCGTCCTGATGGTGGTGGACAGGCGTTGGTGACGGAGTGGTTTCCGTCTGGATCTGGGTCCGTGCTGTTCACCATGGCTACCATGGCGACGCTGAGGTTGACACGGAGACCGTAGACCACAGTGAAGCCGAGGAACATCAGGAAGGCGAGGTTGAAGCGGGCCGAGCAGCACTGAGGAGGAACTGATCACACACAGAGAAATAAATAGTGTATTTTTTTAAGAGCCTTAAATTTGGCAGATCGCCTCTTTTAGGTAATTTTCCCACGCACGTTTGAGCCGCTTCAAATACAGGCACTACTTTCAGATACCGCCCTAGAAGAGCTGCTTCCATACTCGCACCACAATGTGAAAGCATGATATTGCTTCCAATCATCAGTACTAGTACACTGGAGTTTCTGTTTTTTGATCATTCACTGGATAAAAAAACATAACAAAAAAATCCACAAAGAGCATTTTGGGTAAACTTTGAAGGCTTTGTAAATAAGCTGAATAGATAAATAATTTTCTTGACCTTATAACAAACATTTCTCTTTAAGCATTGCAGATTTTTCCCGTAACAAGCCAAAAAACCTGGCCTCTAAGCATCACCAAGATCGTTTATATCTTTACAGCGGCATGTGATTCCATGTCTGCTGCCTCATTGAGGTCTTATATGACAGGTGATCTTTAATGCTGATGTGTGCACTGAAGAACTGAAAACCATCGCTACAAAACAACAAAAGTAACAGCTTCACTTTTGTAGTCATGTTCAAAATTAGATCCAAACACTTCAGTGATACCAAAAGCAGTACATACAACCTGCTGCGTGTTCAGCTTATGTTTTCAAAGCAGATTCAATATTTCCGGTAAAGATTAACATGTAAAAAAATGTTTTCCTCACTTTCATCACTCCCGATGAGAGGTTCGATGTCCTCACTCTCATCGGAAGCGGCTGAGTTGATGGAGCAGCCATCGGGTGGCGGCATGGCAGGCGGCTGGATCCGGGAAAATATTCAGTCTGTGTCGATGTCAGTGAACCATGGTGCCCGGGACGTCTGCAAAGGCAAGATCAACTTATTAAACCACAACAAAGAGGATGTGGGACAAACACATGACAAATGCCATGGCGTGCTGACAGGCAGCAGGTTTGGACACTGTAACATGCTGACCCACACACGCTCGCACACACACACAAACGCACACAGACTGGCTCTTCCACTTCCAAAATACTTCCACATGTCTGAACTCATTAAGTTACTGATGCCCGAATTGGCTCTGATGGAGATGATGATGCTGACGATGAAGCTCAGAGAGCGTTCACACTAACACAGCAGTTATTGTTGCTGTTATTTCAGCTGCTCTTTGTTATAAATTTAAGCTTTTTGGGAACTGAGAACACAACCCACAACCTCAGGCTGACACACATCTGTTTTCACAGGTACAAACGTGGTTTTAAACAGGTTTTGTGTGACCAAAGATCAGATTAAGAGTTAGAAAATACAGACATATTAAGAGAGACAATTAATAATTAATATCAATTATCTTTAACTGATATTAGTTGGATGTAATGGAGGGATTTATTCTAATGTAATATAATAGATCATTTTATATTTGTTCCTTAATTATTTTCAAATTGTTCATAAGTTTTAAATATCTATCTAATTTTATATTTATGTTAAATTTTATTTGTTTATTTTTTTCCAAATTCATTTTTCTTATTGTATTTCATTTTTTTCCTAAATCTTCCGATTGTGCTTATACACCATTTTAAATGTTGTTTTTATTTCTTTATAATTGTATTTAATTTCTCTGTAGCTTCCTCTTTTACAAAACAAATATTATTAAATTATCAGCTGGTCCATCATCGGTGACGCACTTTGAATTGAACCACAAATAAAGTTTGATTGATTTCATTAAATCGTGGTTACCAAAGTCAGTGTATGTCTGAAAATTAACACAACAGCTATTAGCCAAAACATTAAAAACACCAATAGGTTGAAGTGATAGATCGACAGTTTTTAAATACAATAATATTCTGCTGGGAAATACAGATGCAGAGGTTTCTTTGACATTGCAATATTGTTCCAAACACCCTGTTGGACGGGAGAGGAAAATTCGTAATCCAACGCTGCAAAAACTGCTGAAGAACTTTAACGATGCCAATCTAATCAAGAATCCTTCAAATGTGCTGGAAAAATCCGGACCCATGGATAAATATAATAATTTTAATAATAATCAATGTTCAGTCTGTCTGAAATAAACATGAAATAAACATGAAATAAACGTGGATCATCGTGGATAATACAACACAGAAAAGCTGCAAAATGAGACTATAAAGATTAGATCTAAAGCAGAATGGAAAACACTGACAGTTGACTTTGCTGGAGTATGTTTGTTATGAGAGAAGATGACCTGAAGTGACTTTTAGTTCCTGCTTAGTTCCTGCATTTCGATCCTGCTCCTTACAGCAAGTTTTTAAAAGGCTCTGCAGAAAAGATGACGTTTTTATAAAACCGTCATCTCTTTCGAAGTCATTTTGTTTCTGTCTTTTAAGTTTAAAGACATAATGAAGAGGTAAAATATAAAATCGGGACAAATGATGAAAACGTTTCAAACAAGAGGAAAACTGCAGAAGATTGTGGAGCTGTGCCAATTGGCCGATCAACAGATGAAGCATTTGCTTTTCTTTCTTTTGACCAACACACAGATTTAGCTGTTTTCCTTCTCACTGTTTTTGTTACAAATAAAAGTTTATCTCTATCAGTGAAACTCCAAAACAATTCCTGTTACTTCCTCACATCCTCTTTCTGGGGAACGGCTTCCTAAATATCATGACTTTAATTATTTACGTGACATATCATAGTAAATCTTAATTTACTTGAATTTTAGACTGTTGGAGTTTGGGTGGGGGATTTCTTTAAGCTTTTATTATCCAGAGTAGAAGAGTGAAAGTCTGGTAGACTGCAATAAGAGCCATTTATTATGAGTTTAGTTAATCATCTCTGCATCTCAGTAGAGTCAAGTTCATATATTTTGTGACTCTGATGCTCATCCAGCAGCTTTTAGACACATGAGACTGAACTTTAAATGTGTTTAAACGCCCACACGACCCAATCGAAACCCTGTAGTTAAGCTAACTACAGAGTTTTATAAGACAAAGAGGTCAAGATGTTCTCACATAAGAAGTGAAACTTGGTGTCATGACAGTGGCCTCTCTTATCTCATCAATGAACGCTCGTAATCACTGTGAATAAGCCTTTGAACCACAGCTGCTGTCTGGCACACTTGGCTGAGATGATTAGGAGTTCACCTGGTCAGTCAGTCTGTGTGTTTTAGTCCCAAACTGTGACTCAGACGAACATGTCCTAGATTTCAAAGCTTCAAAGACGTTGGACTGAACTTTAACGGAGTATAAGTTTGTGAGAGGTTTTCCATCAGTGGTTACTTTCTCCAGGTTGTTTTTTTTGATTATCCACTTTTTGGGAAAAAAGGGAGACATCGCCATTAATTTGTCCTTAACTTGAGGTCATCCCCTCAGTGTTTTGAAAATAGATCCACAGTTTATGGTGCAAAAAGGTACAGTGAAAAAATAAAAAGTATTTATTGTTGCCTACAGTTTTGGTTCTGATGTCATGGTCATTTGACTTCGAGCATCCTGTTCCCATTTTTTGTAAACGTCCTGGTGAAATGTCATTACTTTTTGGGTTCTATTTCAGTTTTATTTTAGTCTCTCACATTGTTTCCACTGTCTCTACATCCAGTGTGAGTCTGCTCATCTCTCTGCTTTGTTTCTGCCTTTCAGTTGTTTCCTGTTTTACTTTGATAGTGTCAGGTTTTCTCTTCTGTTTTGCTCTGGTGTTTGCTGTCATGTGTGCTGTGATTTCCTCGTCCTCCTGTGTTTCCCCAGCACCTTGTGGGTGTTTTTGGATTAATCTTTGCCCCCCCTGTTTTCCACTTCCACTTTGGATCCAGCTACAGCCTGACATGTTTCTTTAATAACAATAATTTATGCAAATAATCAGTCATTAAATCTGCAAAGAGTTTAATATTTTTTAAATGTAAGAAGTTTTTTCCTCTTTGATTTACTTTAAATTTGCCATGTCACTCTGAGAAGTAACCGAACTTGAATAGCCAGCTGTGTGGAAAAACACCTGAGACTCTCACTGAGTAATGACACTTAAAGTCTGTACTTTTTTATAGGCTCACCTCTTTGTTGTAATGCACCATGAACTTTCCAGATTTGTATTTTCAAACTTATAGTTACCACACACACAAAAAAAGAACTAAAACAAAATAAAAAAAATAACCCTGAGAGAAAGTGAGCCCAATCAGGATAAGAATATTAGAAAATATCCACAATTAATATGACCTTTAAACAGGTACTTTAATCTGATTATTATCAGTTATCCTCAGATGGCTCCCACAATGTGTATTCTGTTAATCCATTTAAGAGTTTTGTATGACAAAACTTATATTATTGCCTTTACCATGTGATTCGTGCACTCCGAGTGAGCGTGTGTGCAAATGTGTGTGTGTGAGAGTCTATCATGATCCTCAGAGCACATTTCACCTCTTCAGGAATAGTAAACATATTATTACACTGACTTTTTCTGCTGCTTAGTTTGGAGGGAACTGGGTTTGAAAAGGTAAAGACGGATAACCAGATCTCAAATGTTCATATGCATAACTTTATGTAAATCCACACAGCTTCGAGGTTTGGCAGATTATATTCCCATCCATAATTGGAAGTTAAAGTTTGTTTTTATGTTATTGTGTGATGGACTGTGTAGTCCAACGTGATGCTGAATAAGTCTTATTATCAGCACTGGCAGAGAAAGATAAAACCTCTTAAAGCATTTACATAAACTTTTGGGGACCGCCTACTACAGAACTTGTTGTCGTTTTAACGAGTTATATTTTTTATATATATATATAACTCAATATAAATCCAACTAAATAATATTTAGAAACAGCATCTGTTCATCCTTCAGTAGATGTAACATGAATATCATTAAATATTTTAGGAAACGGAGCTAAATCACCTCATCTTTCCCACACTGAGACACACCACAGCATGGTGTAATATGTCTAAATAACGTAACTGTAACTCTACATCAACATTCAGACACATTAAATAAGTGTTAATATACTTAAACGTTTCCAATTAAAGCTAGAACTAGCTGTTAAATGCCCTAGCCAGGAAATGTTTGTTAACAGCTCAGCTACAATGTGTCACTGATTAACCGGATATCGATCAAAAGCAGCTTACCTTGTTATATCAGCTTACCTTGTTATTATAAACTCTTATTCCATAGGGTTTATTGGAGGTAGAAGCACAGGAGGCTTAACACTTGACACTTGTCATGTTGAAGCCGGCGAAACAATAGAAACTCCTTTCCGTGCTGATGTTTTTACACCCAAGTCATGTGAGCCCCGGGAAGGGGCCGATCGATGGATAAACCACGCCTAGTTTTAGACTATCCAATGACTGCAGCTCATATGTTTTATAAATCGGACGTTGCGCTGGTAGCGCGCTTCCGTGAAGGCTTGCGTTCACCTTCCTGTGTTGCCAGATAGGGGTGGCAGCAGCGAGGCCAATCCATTTAAATATAGAAACTAAATTACACACAAAAAAGCAGAGAAGTTGCACGTATTTATTTGTTAGTTTAATTTGACTTTTTTTTTCCTGAGGGTGACTATATCTCTCAAGAGTACCGTGAATATGCCAGTGTAGAAACCCGAGAAAAAAGACTTCGACAGTGAATTATGACATTTTTACGATACCTTCGGTATCAGAGCAATCCATTACTCGATTTTAGAGCACTCAGTAGTACATGGCAAACAGGAGCTCCTAACACAAAATTCGGCTTGCTTTATTTCCCAATTATAATGGGTTGTTGCTTAACTGACGAAAAATCATAATATGGTAGGTAGGTTCTGCATGCCCATGACGCAAATCTGGCAACACAGCTTCATCGTCTCGTTTCGATGTCTGAGGCGTTTCAGTTGTTTACTCGCAAACGGAACAACTTACGTTTCTTTATTGTTTAAATGTATCTTATTTTGACAGCTACTCTGTAGTCTTTCTTCTCCTTTTACAAGCTGATTGTTTATCGGAAGAACTTCATTTCCGCGTGATTTGATGTGTTGTTATGGCAACAGAGTCACCTCCTGCGTAGCATTCAAACAGCTGCAGCTAGTCCCGAGTTATTTTCCGTTTCGCACATTGTAGACGACCCGGAGTTACACGGCTATTATTGAAGTCATGGCTCAATACAGAGTAAGTATTTTTGGCCTTACTTTCTGTAGCTTTTATGTTTTACGTGGTACATTTAAAGTTTGTAAAACTAGCTAGCTAGCGTCATAACAACGTGACCCCTGCTCGCCAACACGGTGGAAGGCAGTGAAGGCACCATGGGCTGAAAACACTTCAGTGCAAGGAGTTTTTATATCGCTCTTTATGTCGGTGTATGAATGGGCTCCTAACTTGTGTGTCATCCAACTATTTGTCTTTTTCAGGCCTCTGAGTCGAAGCGGGAGCAATTTAGAAGGTACCTCGAAAAATCTGGAGTCCTCGACACCTTAACAAGCGGTAAATGGACCCCCCCCCCCCCCCCCGTTCAGCCTGGTGACATTAACGATAATGCATTCTGTTAAACAGTCTTTTAATTTGTTTTTACTGATATCCGTGCTCCCCCTCTTTCTTGCAGTTTTAGTTGCTCTTTATGAGGAGCCTGAGAAACCTAACAATGCACTGGAGTATCCTTTTCTCATTTTTGCAGCCTTACTACAACCTCAGGTGGTAACAATTAGTTTCTGATGTGGCTCTATCTTCAAAGCAAAAAAGATATGTCACACTTGTATGTTTCAGATCTACTGTTTTAATATTGGAAATGCAGGTTTTAAATTATTATTTCATTTATTGAGGGGAAAAAGTTATCCAGAATTATCAGGCCTTATGTGGAAAAAGTGATTCCCCCTAAACCTAATAACTGGTTTTGCCACCAGCAAGAACTGCAACTCTTTGGTATAACCAGTAACAAGTCTTTCACATCACTATGGATGAATTTTGGCTCACTCTTCTTTGCAAAACTATTTTACTTCAGCCACACTTTATTTTTTTTTATTGTTGTGTTTATTGTTTATTAGCTCGAATAGCCAGTTTAAGTCCAAACTTTGACTAGATAAAGCCTTCCAAAACTTTCATTATTATTTGAGTCATTAAGAAGTGGACATTCAGGTTATTTTTGTCCAATATTTGTTTGATCATGTGGAATATTTAAATGCAGCAAATATGTAAAAATAAGATCTGGAAGTTGGCAAATACTTTTTCACAAAATTTCACTCAATATAAACAGGTTTAGAGCTTAAACCACTGCATTTGAAATAAAATAGTTTATTATTTTTTTATTTATGGTATTATCAGTCTTAAAATGTTACGATTGCAGTCAAATCGATTATTTAAATGCACCGTTGTCCCCTGAAACCTTCAGATGGGCAATGAGGTGACTCCTGGTCCATTTAGAGATGAATGGCAGCCTTTAAGACTTTGAGTTTTAATTCACAATAAAAATCTTAACATCTCCAATTCTTCAGCTATGTAGATAGGGGAAATCAACTGCATCAAAATTCATCAATATGTTGATGCTCTGTGCATCTCGGTATACTGCAAGGATGTAGGCTAGACCAAATAATCACTCAGCTGTTTTATTGTGGAAAAGCCAGTTTCTTGTTATGGCAGCAGATTTAAAATCTAAGGGGTTTTTTGTAATCTGTTCATGGGGTTTGATTTATTCTGTGTTGTTCTTCACATGTTTAAATACTGCAGGATACTTGCAGTGGGTGAGTCTGTCACAGGCCAACAGTTCTTAAGCTAAGGAGTCATTCTCCTGCACCAGTCTCTCCAACCTACAAACTGGATCATCATTCTCCTGAATTAACATGCAGAACCGAGTTGGACCTTGTTCTGCTCTAATAAAATTAGATAGTATTGATGAGTAAAATTTCCATGCACTCGTTAACCTTAACCATGGCAACAGTTTCATAAAGCTTCATCTCGGGGCAGCTGGTCCAGAGCCAGCAGACACAGAGGCTCTTCGTACAGAGCTGGCTGACCTACAACAGAAGTGCAGCGAGCTCATGGAGGAGAACAAAGAGCTGAGGAGCAGGGTGAGCGTTTACAGATAATCACATGTCTATATTTGGTCTGGATTCTGTGACCTTTAACCTTCTCATTTTCCTCCTCATCTTCCAGCTGATGCAGTATGAACCATCGCCTGATGGGGAAGCAGCAGAGTAGAGGTTTTCTTTGCTTTTGTGGAGGAATAAAAAGAAAAATGTTACTAAAGCCTTGTTTGTATGTAAATGTTTATTAAACAATGGATGTACAGTGAATGCAAAATCACTGTTATTTTATTTTATTTTTTTTGTTGTATAACAAGAAGCTTTCTAAATTAAAAATGACATTTCAGCATCAGCCTTTCTCTGTCCTGAAGGTCCTTGATTTTGCTGATGGAAATTCTTCATTTGTTATTAAAGCTTCATCATGGATGAATTCAGATGCTGCGACTGACTGAAGTGTCTGGCTACAAAGGATCCTGCAGGAAGTAGTTACCAGAACATGTGTGCACTCTGGTTATTTCTTAGGTACATATACTTGCTAATAACAGGCCTAAAGTGTGGCAAGAAAATCACACTTTGATCTACACCACCACTCCCAGTCTGAACCATGACTTGAGGCATGTTGGTTCCATCTTTTTCTGTTTTTCTACACCAAATTCTAACCCTACCATCCAAATGGCATTGCAGTAATTTTTACTTATCAGACCAGGCAGGTTTGTTCCCGTATTCAGTTGTCTGATTTTGGTGAGTAAGTGAACTGTACCTTCAGTTTCCTGCTCTTCGTGGACAGGAGCGGCACACGATGTAGTCTTCTGCTGCTGTAGCACATTTGCTTCAAGCTTTGGTGCGTTCAGAGATGCTCTTTGTTGTAATGATTTGTTATTTCAATTACTGTTGTCATTTAATCTCAGGGAAGTCTGGCTGCTCCCAGTCAACAAATCATATTACCCAGAGAACAGCTGCTCATTGGGTATTCTCTGTTTTTCAAACCATTCTCTGTAAATCCTACAGATTTACTCACTTGTTGGCAGGAATTGGCTCACTTGTGTGGCAACAGTCTTGGAAACATCATTGTGGCTTATATGCATGTTATTTTCTAACCACTGTCATGTTTTGCTGCAAGTGAAATTTACTGCTGGAAAAGTCTTGAAGATATTTCATGTCAAACGTAACAAAACAGATGAGTCAAGTTGACTCCTTTGTTGCATAAAAATGATTGAAATCATAATTATGATGCAGAGGTGCAAAGTCAGTCTCCACCAGCCAGTGGGCCCGCTCAGTCTCACCCCTGACAAGTTAAAAGGCAAACTAAAATCCCCCCTTGTCAAAAGAAAAGAAAGAAATCTATAAAAGGCATTATGTTAATGAGGTAAATGATCCTAGTCAGTACTGTTATTTAAGTCGAGGTCAAAAGAGAGAAAACAACACTTGCTATGAACTCTCAGACAGTATAAAACATAGGCGCAGGTTCGAGGTCTGAAAAGGGAAGCCAATGCAGAAACGCTTTAAACCTGCATTCTTACTAATGTCTACCAGGGGGTGATTCCTGTGATTTCAAAAACAACCTGGGTCTCAAAGAAGTCAATGGGGAAGCAGCCCTCTGCCCTGAGCTCTGCAAACACTTTCTCAAATAGTTTATGGGTTAAGTCACTCCGTTTGGGTCATATTATTAAAACATTAAGTCAAAAAACAGGAAGTAAATGGATATTCTAATGAAGAAGGATTATCCAGGAAATCCTCATTGGTTTACCACTTGATAGCTTGTTAGCCACTGAGGATGCTACAGTTCCCTGCCCATCTTTTATACTGTCTGTGAATTACCTGCAAGCCTTTATTTTAATTGTAAATATGAAAAAATGCAAGGAGGTATTTTTGTAGTCTATTGATACTATATAGTGGAAAAGGGGTGGGATTAAATAAGCTTATGCTTCTTCCTGCTCCTTTTTGAACATGAACTTTATTTGGAGTTGTGGTTGCTCGTTTTCCTTTTGTTTTGCTTTGTTCATTTGTCTCTTTTAATTCTATTTTGTTGTACTTTTTCAACATGTTCAAAATAAAGATTCAATCAAATCAAATCAAAAAATGAAAGGTTAATAAAGCATTTGAGCAGATGTGTTTAGCGCACAGTGCACCACACAAACATAAAAGTCGGCATTTTCTTAAGTTGGTTTCTGAGACAAGGACCCATTCTTATCTGTGATAGCTAAGTTTAGCAATAATTCAGTGCTAGGTGCATGTTTCAGTTAAACAGTTCAGCGTGTGTGACCCTTCAGCCTTCATTTGACCATTAAAACATTTCAGAATAACTCATAAATCGACTTATCATCAAACATCATGAGGCCCCACTCAGTCATGTCAGCTGCTAACATAGCTTTATAGCTTGATTGTTTGAGGGTTGAAGCTCATTCTGAAAGCCTGAAACTGACCTGGAAATCTGAGAAAACAAGGCTGTGCATCCTAGTATGAATCCCTCTAAAAGGAAGAGTAGATGTTAGACTGCTTGTTTGTCATATGCTCTTTCTAAGACTGGAGAATGTCTCTGAAAAAATGGCACAAGCATAATCTCTGCAGGCTTTTTGTGATTGTCTCTTAAAGAAGTCTAAACTGTGAAAAAGGTGCAGTAATACAGTGTTTTAATGGCTTCTTCTAAGCAGTCCTCATATCTGTAAATCAGTCGGGGCTCGTCTGCTGCTGGCGCTGCTGGCAGCTGACACTCGCCGGTTTGGTGGGGAGGCGGCGGGACTATTGCTCTCCCGGCTGTGTCGAGATATAGAGCTCAGCTCCCCTGCAGAGTCCGGGCTCTGGGGTCTGCTCTGTCTCTTAATGTCTGACTTGGAGAGGATCCTTGCTCTGGGGCCGCCGCCGCTTCGTAGCTTCATGCTGTTGTTCCCGTTGTAGGAGTCTCCGCTGTCTGAGCCATTTCCCTCCACGACTGTGGAGCAGTTCCACGGTGGGGTGATCCTTCGTGTCTTCCTCGTGAAGCCTGACAGCGCTGTGCTGCAGGAGGCATCTGAAACAGGCAGGGTGGGGTACTCAGATCTTGCACGCTCCAGGTCCTCGTGATGTGGTGGGGATTGATCTTCTCGTTGCTCCTGTTTGTCTGAAGGAGGGGACCGCGTCTCACTGCTGGTATTGTTGGAGTTGTTGTTGTGCTCCGTGGGACTCGGGACTCCTTCCTTGCCCTCCTTTTGACTGTCCGGCTTTCCACCAGGGTCCCCTTGAATTGGGACGAAGGCGGAGGAGGCGTTGAGGAGAGGGTAGTTGGGTCCGTTGCCCTGTTTCTCCAGCAGTAACGTGTACCCGCTTGGTGCTGTGGGAATCGTACTCTTGCGTCCCACAGTCGTTCCCATGCAAACCTGATGCATCACTGAGTCCTTTTTTGACTTGCTGACATAATAATCGTCCAGGTCATCCTTCAGGTGTGGGTAGTAGTCCAGAATGCCCTTCTTAATCCTCTTGAAGCCCAGGTGCATGATCTCCAGCAGACTGAGGAAGAGAGAGATGCAGGCGATAGCTTGCATGAACATCATGAAAACAGTTTTCTCTGTTGGTCTTGAGACGAAGCAGTCCACCACGTTAGGACACGGCTCCCTCTCACACTTGTAAATGGTGCTCAGGCGGTTTCCATACAGGATGTATTGAACCGTCATAAAGCTGACCTCCACCACTGAGCGCGTAACAATGTGGGCCACATAGGTGCACAGCAGAGAGCCCCTCAGTGGTGCTTTGTTGAGCTTCCCCTGCTCCAGCTGCCTCATCTCCTTTTCAATCCTCTTCTTCACCTCTGTCAGCTCTGCATCCACTGCCTCCAGCTCCCGCCGGAGAGCCACTTTCTTGCAGTGGCGTTCCTTCTCCAGAGCCCGCAGCTGGTAGATGGCATGACCCATGTACACCAGGGAGGGCGAGGACACAAATATCACCTGGAGCACCCAGTAGCGGATGAGGGAAATAGGGAAGGCCTGGTCATAGCATACATTCCGGCACCCCGGCTGCTCGGTGTTGCAGATGAAGTCGGACTGCTCGTCATTCCAAACGTCTTCTGCGGCGACGCCCAGGACCAGCATTCGGAATATGAACAGGATGGTCAGCCAGATCTTGCCAACCATGGTGGAGTGGATATGCACCTCCTCCAAGATCCCACCAAGGAAGTTCCAGTCTCCCATTTTCTACTTTAGCAGCTCTGTAACAAAAAAAGAGAGAAAAACTCATTTATATACTAGGAGTTCAGTGTTTCTTCTAACCACTTGCACTGTGCACCTGTGATCTCACCTTCTCTCTGTCAGAATGAGAACCTTTCAACCTTCCTAAAGGACATTCAAAGCTCTTCTTTGGATCTTGGCTGCTTTTTTTATGTACTCCATAAACATGATCCCACACTGCTTCAGTAATGTTCCACTGTCTAGGGATGCTTTTACTGCATTGGCAGTGAAACAAAAAAGGAAGCCAATCAGATTCATCCCAGATGGTGTTGCATGATAGATCAAAATGTGAAGGTACTTTTCAGCAGATCCTTAACAACACCAGCTGAAATTAAGCCCCATGCATTGACAGCCCCCACCGTATTTTACAGATGCCAGTAGATCTTCACTGTTGTAGCTCTCTGTTGATAAGTGACAAAGATAAACTTTGAAAGCTCTTCAGAAAGTCTGGAGAATTACTGCCCAAGACCACTTTAAAATAATTGCAATAAGTCTGGCTACTTGTCATTTAAGGTGGGTAGTAAGCCACAGTTAAAACGAGACACACATCACATATGGGGCGGCTGCAGCTTAGGAGGTAGATGGAGGTCAAATATCCTTCGGCAAGATACTGAACCCCAAGTAAATATCAGAGTCTGTATGTGTGCGAACATGCTTGGATTAATAGCTGAATGAATGAATGAGTGAAGGGCATGTTGTATAAAGCTCCGGTACTCAGGTATAGTAGGAAAGCGCTGTATATGAAAAAATGGTAAATGGATGGATTCTTATATAATAATAATAATAATAATAATGGATTGGATTTATATAGTGCTTTTCTACTCTCCCGGAGTACTCAAAGCACTCTATACAACATGCCACATTCACCCATTCTCACAAGCACTCCCTCTAAACTGAGTGCTTTATAACTACATTCACACACATTCACACTCCGACGGATGCATCGAAGAGCAATTTGGGGTTAGTATCTTGCCCAAGGATACTTGACATGCAGATTGGAGGAGCCAGGGACTACTACTAATCGAAC